GTTGTAGTAGTTGTAGTAGTTGTTGTAGTTGTTGTAGTGGTAGTGGTAGTAGTAGTAGTAGTAGCAGCAGCAGCAGCAGCAGCAGCGGCAGCAGTGGCAGTAGTAGCAGTAGTAGTTGTTGTTGTCGTGCTTTTCGGCGTAGTCTTGACTTGCCAACCAGCTGCACACTGTAGTTTACAAAGCTTCTGATGTTCGCAAACCTGACGAAGGCAGGCCGTATTGAGGCAACCCCAACGACGCACAATCTGGTAGCAGCAGCAGTGGCAGTTATCTTCCTTCCGTAAGTCCAAGCTGGAAATCTGAACCTAACCCCAGGAGGCCCTAAAGGATCACTTCGTCGCGAACGAAAGCGTTAGCGAGTGAAGCAAGTGGAGAGAAAAAAGCTCTTGAGCGTTGTTCTGAACCAGGGGTTCCATTCACAACTCCGTACCCTATGGAGTTCGACTCAGATGCTCGCAAAACACAATGACAAGCCCCCAGTGCCACGCAGGCTGGGGAACTCACTGATTGATATTCATTGAAGGAACCCGAAACGTTCGCATGTTCAGGCCTGTGTAACTGACTATGCTTGTGTCTAGGATTACAACACTAGACACGTTCAATTCATCTCTTTTTCAGGAGGGGGGGAATGGGGAATGGCGTGCGACAAGCAACGACAATATCTGATGATAATTTCATATAAATATGATGGATGATTGAGCCGAGGAATAGAGTTTCAATTTACGATGCTATATTTCAAAACATAAATGAGTTAAAACATTTTACACGGCTTCTTAATTTCAATTTCTAGCTCCGAAATTTCGAATTTTGCCCCGAAGATATATGTACAAATATCTATTGTAATATTAATTCTGAATATATGGTCGAATAGAGCGGAAAATGGAATTATTACGAATATCGTGGAAGATTCCGAATAAGATATCTTTCGACAATAGATCTGATTGAGAGGAGAGAATTTATATTCTTAAAAAAAGAAAAATGAAATATCTTATGAATAATATCGACGATATTTTTTTCGATATTTCTTTATATTTTATTGTATTTTTTTGGGGGTCTATAGATTTGAAGATTTTTTTATGTTTAATTCTATTTTCTTATTGTAAAATTTCTCATTCTAATTATAAATATAGAATTATTTCGTTAATATTAAGAATCTAGCCTTGAAGAATTAAGAGTTATATTATTAGATAGGGATGGGGCAGAATTCTAGAGTTGGTGGTTTATAATATTATACGAAGGTATTATAGCTCGTTCTCTATTTTATGAAATCTAGAAAAGAAGGATATAAGGTATTTAACGATTTAAAGGAATTGTAGCCAGGCGGGAGGCAAAGGAAAAACCATTTTATAAAATCGATATTCTATTTTTAAATGGCAAATCTAAAAGAATGGAATTCTAATTTAGGTCATTATAGTTAATATATATAATAATTTTGGCATGATATAGGAAAAATTTAATTTTAAATTCTAATTCTGAATAAATACAAAAATTAATTTAAAATATATGCATATCATATCTATTATGAATTAAAAACCGAAAAGATTATTATAAAATAGCTTCCATCTATAGGGATCTCGTAGAAGAATACATATATCTCAGATGAAGACCTAAGCATGAATTTTAGAACCGAAGGAATCATTATAAGAAGAAGATTCGAAAATAATACGAAATTTATGAAGGGTGACTACTTATTTGTCATAGTATAGTGAATCAAGATAAAATAAGAGAATATTAAATAAATCTCGGGAAAATATAGATGAGATTCTTTTTATAATAAAATTACAATAAGTATAAACTCATTAGAAATAATTTTATTATTGAGATTTTTCTTATTTCTTCAGAAATAATAAACAGAAAAAAAATCAAATCGATAATTATTGAAATTTAATAGAAATTTCTATTTATATAATGAAAAAAATATTCTTAACTCTGGTGAATAAAAAATAATCAAATC